TCCACATGCAGCTGCTGGGTGACCTTGGGCTCATCACACTTCTCTGAAGTCTCTCAGCCCCACTCACCTCACAGAGTGTTTGTTGTGGGGGAGGAAAGGAAAGGAGAATGTTAGCCGCTTTGAGACTCCTTAAAAGGAGTGAAAGGTGGGATATCAAATCCAAAACTCTTCTTATGAATTGGTTTAAACAATTGCAAAAATTTATCACTTGCCCGATAACAAATGTTGGAAATGTAAAGAAACTGAAGGTACATTCTTTCACCTTTGGTGGACGTGCCCAAGGATTAAGGCTTTCTGGAAGATGATATATAATGAACTGAAAAGGTATTTAAATATACCTTCTTGAAGAACCCAGAGGCCTTTCTCCTGGGCATAGTCGGCCAATTGGTGCCAAAGAAGGATAGAACCTTTTTATGTATGCCACAACAGCAGCAAGAATACTCATTGCAAAGTATTGGAAGACACAAGATCTACCCACTCTGGAAGAATGGCAGATGAAGCTGATGGACTATATGGAACTGGCAGAAATGACTGGCAGAATCCGAGACCAGGGAGAAGAGTCGGTGGAAGAAGAGTGGAAGAAATTCAAAGATTATCTACAGAAATATTGTAAAATTAATGAATGTTAGAATGATGTTGGATAGAAATTAAGTGGTTTCCAGCTGTAATGCTTTAAGGGAATATGAAAAAAGGGTTATAAATAGGTAAAAATCTAATGCTATTATTTTTAAGATCAAGGATTAGGATAACTAAAGAGGGTAAGGATTTGCTGAACCAACAGATTGAAGTGGAATACAAAAAAGGGAGGTATGAGGAGGTCCGGGAAACAAGCTAAAGGAAAATAAGTAATGGAAAATCTGGGTGTTTTTAACCATTTTTATTTTGTATTTTTGTTATTTTTTTCACTTTTATTGTAATATTTTAAAAAATCTTAATAAGTATCTTATAAAAAAAAACAATTAGGAAGAAGAAGAAGAAGAAAAATAAAAAAGAGGGAGGGGGGAGTGGCAAGCGGGGTGGGGTCGGGTGGTTATGCTTGTCTTATTCTACTTACCGTATTTTTCGCTCCATAAGACACACTTTCCCCTTCCTAAAAGTGTGCGTCTTATGGAGCGAATGCAGGTGGGAGGCTCTGCTCAGTGCTCCCTTTAAAGAGCCATGTGGAGCTTGTGTGCGGCTCTTGGGGGCTTTTCCCCGGGGAAAGAGCACTTCACAGGCTCTTTAAAGGGAGCACGGGTCTTGGGGGAGCCTTAGCTATGCGCAGGTTCTCCCGGGCAACAGGAGCCTTCATCCCGCTGCCGGGGGCTGCGTGTGGCTATCCCAGAAGCCAGGACAGTAAGTGGGATCACTGCGATCTCGCTTGCTGTCCTGGCTTCTGGGATTCAGAATATTTTTTTTCTTGTTTCCTCCTCCGAAAACTAGGTGCGTTTTATGGTCTGGTGCATCTTATAGAGCGAAAAATACGGTAGTGTGTGTGAGGGGTTGTGTCAGCATTACTTGTATGAGTTCTCTTACTATTCACTTGTTGTATGGGGAATTATACTTAAAATTATATAGAACACAATAACTATACAGTGGTACCTTGGGTTACAGACGCTTCAGGTTACATACGCTTCAGGTTACAGACTCTGCTAACCCAGAAGTAGTACCTCGGGTTAAGAACTTTGCTTCAGGATGAGAACAGAAATTGCACGGCAGAAGTGGGAGGCCCCTTTAGCTAAAGTGGTACCTCAGGTTAAGAACAGTTTCCGGTTAAGAATGGACCTCCGGAATGAATTAAGTTCTTAACCCGAGGTACCACTGTATATGAAAATGAAAAATGGATATGTAGGTCAACATTTAATTACCCTAGAATCATTTTATCCAATTCATCCGAGCAGAAGCAACAACCACTGGACATGCACCCCAGATGATCTTAGGATTCAACATGCTAATTTCCAGCAATGTTCTCACACTTGCAATTGCCAGTAGTGTGGCACCTCTGTGTTTGGTTCAATATAACAATTTAAACATTGTATATTTGTCTATTAAGGGTTTCCCCCCAAAGCTAAGTACAACAAAATAAAATACAGATACAGAAGTATGCAAAGGAACACATATGAAACACAAAAATTTACTTTGCTGGGGGCAGCATGGAAGAAAAAGAAAAACTGATGTCCTCAGAAGGCATGTAAAAGGTGAGTTTAGGTAAGTGCATCAGTTAGACAAGCCATATGTTCTGAAAAACCATGGGTACAATTTAAAAAACCCACTTTTTTTCTTACAACAGCCTTCCAAGGTAGGCCAGTATCACTTTCCTAACATAGCAGTGAGGTGACTGAGACTGAGAGGGAAGGTTCTTGCATCAAGTCACAAAATACATAAGAAGCTGCCTCGATACTCGCTCAGAATATCTGAATGGAATTAAATCTATCTATTCCGAACAACACGCTAGATTAATAATTAACAATACTTTAACGGAAAGAATTGAGATAACGAAGGGGACAAGGCAGGGCTGCCTGCTATCGCCATTATTATTCATAACGACACTAGATGTTCTGCTGAAAAAAATAACTGAAACCAAAAGAGTAAAAGGTATAGAAATTGGTTTCAAAGAATACAAATATAAAGCTTTTGCAGATGATGTAGTGTTGACGTTGGAACAACTAATAAATAGTTCAATTGAGGCAATGGGAAAAAAATAGAAGAATATGGTCATCTTGCTGGATTTAAACTTAATAAAAGCAAAACGAAACTACTAACAAAAAACATGGATAGTAAAGAAATAGAAGAGTTACAAATGAAAACAGGACTAACAATTGCAAAAAAAGTAAAATACTTGGGGGTATGGCTAACGACAAAAAACATCAACTTATATAAAGATAATTATGAAAAGGTGTGGACAGAGATTAAACAAGACCTGGAAATTTGGACCAGAATGAAATTATCGTTGATGGGCAGAATTGCTGCTATTAAAATGAACGTGCTCCTGAAACTGTTATTCTTATTCCAGACCATTCCTATTATATGTGGAACGAAACAATTTGACATCTGGCAAAAATGTATTTCTAAATATTTCTGGCTGGGAAAGAAACCTAGGATCAAATATAAAATCCTGACTGATGCAAAAGAAAGAGGTGGATTCTCCCAGCCAGATCTAAAAATTTATTATGAAGCATCTTGTTTTTGTTGGTTGTGTGATTGGATAGCATTAGACAATGAGGAGGTACTAGATTTAGAGGGATTCGATAATAGATACGGGTGGCACGCCTACCTGTGGTACGGAAAGACAAAAGTTCACAGAGGGTTTCTGCACCACATCATTAGAAAATCCTTGTATGAGGTATGGACTAGACATAAAAATCTATTAGAACATAAAACTCCGTGTTGGATCTCACCATTAGAGGCATTTGCAGTAAAAAAGAAAAACATGGGAAAGGACCAATAGAGAGCTATTGGTGGAAGTGGATGGTAAATCAAAGTTAAAATCATTCAAAGAATTGAGAGGGAAATTAACCAATTAGTTACAATACCACCAATTACAAGATATCTTTAAGAAAGACAATAAAAGCAATGGTTTTAGTAACATCCAATCAAAGATTAAGACAGAACTGCTGGGTAGTAATAAGAAAATTATATCAAAAATGTATAAGGTACTACTAGAGTGCAAAACAAAGGATGAGGCGGGAAAGAGTGTGATGATAAGATGGGCACAGGATCTGGGGCATAATATTGATTTTGAGAGGTGGGAGGTAATGTGGAATAAAACAATCAAATTTACGGCATGTGTGGCACTTAAAGAAAATTTAATGAAAATGATGTACCGTTGGTACATCACACCAAGTAAATTAGCCAAAATGTATAGAAGCCAAGATAAATTATGTTGGAAATGTAGGGAAGAAGAAGGGAATTTCCTACATATGTGGTGGACTTGTACCAAAGTTAAAATCTTCTGGGATACTATTTATAATGAATTTTAAAAGTTCAATACCTTTTTTAATTCATTATAAATAGTAAAAAGCCAGAAGTATTTTTATTAGGATTAATTGACGAGGAAATCCACCAAAAAGATGTTAACCTATTCATGTACTCCACGACGGCGGCAAGAATCCTCCTGGCCCAAAGATGGAAACAGCAAGAGCTCCCCACTCTAGACGACTGGCAGATAAAGATGGTAGAGTACGTGGAACTGGCAAAGTTGACGGAGAAAATTAGGAACCGACCTGCTGAAAGATTTCAAAGGGACTGGAGCAAATTTATAAATTATTTGAAAGAAAGTTGTAAACACCTAAAAACGTTTGTAACATTAACGTGAAATGTTTTGTAATGTGGAAAGAAGGAGCTAATTTACAAATGAAAGGGTGATTGTTAAATGATTATATATGGTAAAGAAGTGATTATGGAAATGTGACAAATATGTTAAAATAATAGGAAAGTCAGAAAGAGTGATGGAAGGAAGTCGATACTCGCTTGGAGTAGTAATGTAAGCTTGGGATATGTATTATAAAATGAAATGAAATATGGAAAACTCAATAAAAATCATGATTTAAAAAACAACAACAGAATATCTGTCCGCATAGCCCTGATGGGGTCTCAGGGAGTGACAATTCTTCCCTAGCTCTTATTTAATCAGAGATGCCAGGAAGGGACCTGGGACCTTCTGCATGCCACTGAGCTACGATGTTTTCCCCTCAAATACATAAATATGTGGTGAAGGGATTTGTCATTTGAAGAGAGAATTTTCCATGTTTGTGTACTGATAATCTGATCAAGTGACCAGAGCCTGATTTCATGATGGCTCAAGATAGACTCAGCAGACCATTGGGGGTTGGAGTGTAGCATGAGGACACAGCCCAGGAAAGCCTGTTACTGTGGTTTCAGCTGACAATGACAGTCAAGCCCAAAGAAACAGATGCTCAGACTGATACAAAGTAATGTGACCATGGCATGTGTTGCCTCACCACTTGTATCATGTATCTCAGAAACAAAGGAAGCCGACACCATTCTATGTGGCCAAAGAATGGAAATGGAGATAAGCACAGCTGTGGTCACCTTGTCAAATATCAACGCAGCAGTCTGTTTGTCTTATGCCCACTCTAGCTGTCAGCTGAAATGTCCTGTGCTGCTATTATGTCATCCTGGCCACCCCGAAAGGTAGCCTGAGCTTGTCTTTTGTCATCATGAAATTTCTCCCCACAGGGCAGAGCCTGCTGTTAAGTAGAGGGAGGTGACCACCCAATGAGGCAGAATGTTGGAAGATTCAGGACACCTAAAAGGAGGTACTTTTTCATGCAGCACATACTTAAACTGTGGAACTCACTCCCACAAGAGGCAATGATGGCCACCAGCATGGATGGCTTTAAAAGAGGATTAGGCAAATTCATGAAGGATGGCTACTTAGCCAGGATGGCTCTGCTCTGCCTCCACAGTCCTTCTCAATTTCCGGTGCTGGAGACACGGGAGGGGAGAGGCCTCTTGTGCTTGAATCCTGCTTGTGAGTTTCCCACAGGCATCTGGTTGGTCACTGTGAGAATGGAATGCTGGACTAGATGGACCTGATCTTACATTTTTATGGATGTTCCAGGTGGCAAATGCTGTGAGTCAGGCAGAGGCGGGGCTAGCTGCTAAAGCACCCAGAGTGGTGCACAGTTGTGCACCCAGGGGTGGGGGGAGCCGCCCACGGAGGCAGCGCGGTGAGCGTCCCATGGGGCAGGGCAGTGAGCACAGGGGCGCCACCACCCATGGTGAGCGTCCCGGGGGGTGACACAGCAATGTATGACACCCAGGGCGGAGAGCCCGTGGAGTTAGGCAGTGGCAACTGGATGTTGGAGAATGGAGGCTTGCATCCCAGATGGCCTAAGCTAGCCTGCTGCCCTCAAACGTAGTAGAGGGCAGTGGAAGGAAGATTCAGCTACCTGTCTGTTCAGCTGCCTCTGTACATGGACTAGGGGTGGGGTGGGCCTTTATCAAATCCTTTAGGTCAGGCAGCAGTATATCTTGGACCAGTTCTGCTGGAAGGGCAATACCCTAGAAATTAATAAATGGTAAGATTTTGAATATTGGGCGTTTAAAGAAGATTGAAGGCCAATGGAAAAATGCAGGCTAAGCTTTATTTCCAAGCCAAGACCTCACCTGGGATAAAGGTGTTAACATGACCAGACTCTCCACGTGTCCCTATTTTTCAGGGACAGTCCCAGAATTACAGAAGCCATCCCAGTTTTTGATTTGATTTGATCCTGGAATGTCCCATTTTTCCTTAGGACGTGACATTTTTCATTGGAGAAATGATGAAGGGTATGGAGTTAGGCAACCCCTGAGCCAAGGAGATAAGAACCTTTAAAAGACATCTGTAGGCATCCCTGTGTAAGGATTTTTTCAAAATGTTTAATGTTTATGTTTTTAAATAAGACAACCCAGTCAGATGAGCGAGGTATAAATAACATATTATATTATATTGCATTGCATTGCATTATATTATATTATATTATATTATATTATATTAATTGTTATTACAGAAAAGAACATCCCTGTTTTCATCAGAGAAATGTTGGAGGGTATGCATGATGAATGGTGTTGATGGCCCATCTAAGAGGATGAATATTGGGCCTGGGCAGACAGAGGTTGCCATTTGTAAAAGGAAAATTCCTGGACTCACTTGGATTGCCAAACAAAGACAAGAAAACAGGAGCAAAACAGCAGCCAGTAGGGTTTCATCTTTATTCAAAAGTGTTGCTATAGGACTCCCACCCAACCACATGGGAGAAGCAGGAAGAAGTCCTAAACAAAGGAAGGTTTTTACTTTTATCAGGTTCCAAAAGTTACTAGTAACACCCCTAAAACTACAACACACTTACATCCTAAGTACATCACACTTTGGGAGGATCTGGGTGCAGTAACCCGAGCATCAGGGCTTGCCCCCCCCCTTCCCTTGACCTGCACCATGCACCCATCAAGTGATACGTTTCCCCGTTTCCCAGCCAAGTTAATCACACCCTTTTGCCTTGATCTGGGTTTGCTATTATTTCTGGAATGGCTACCTGTCTGGCACCCAGGTGTCAGGATGCCAGAGGGGCTGCTGAGTACATGGGTTCATGTTTTAGGGATTATGACTCCCAAGCTCTCCCCTTGGTAGCCATTTCCTTCCTGAATAGAGCAACGTTGGAATGGCGTAAATCTGACACTGGAGTGATGTTATATGAATTTCTGAAGTTTTCCCATTGAGGACAAATATTTATCAGTGAATTGTTACATGCCGTTTGAATAGAGCTAGAAAAAAATTGTGTGATGAAGCATTTTGTGGGGACATTTGCAAGGGGGGGTGTATGTTGTGTGCTGGAGGGAGTAACTCCCTCCCCAACCTTTATAAAAAGCTGGGTAACACCACGGTGATGGGAAGGTGTTTGAGGTGACAGGAAATATTGTGCTAATAATGCTAAAAACAAATATTGTGCAGAATTTCAGCAAAATGCTACAGAACAAGCTCTCTTTCAAAGCAAAATAAGTTGTTGCATTCAAATGGCACTTCTTGCAATGCCTGCTGGTGACCACTGCAAGAATAAAAGTACACACGGACACACCCGAAAAATCCCTTTTATGGCAATCTAAGTGTGTGGCTCATGTAACTGGCTAGCTCTCAAAATAGTTTGCATTTGTAGCAGCTCTGAAAACTGTGTGGCCCAGAGACACTTCTACAGGCAACAGCCTGGCATGGCAGCCAAGCCACACCTCTCCAAATTCAGTTGCCGCTTCACAAGACTTTTCAGGAGTAAAGGGGTGGGAGGAGGAGGAGGCCATGCCAGATAAATTGAGGGAGAGCCTTGAGAACTGGACTGTGGCACAATTTATGTGGCAGGGGCAGGGGAACCAAGCCAGGTGGCTGCCCAACATGTTTCACATAGTTTGGTTCTTTTTCAGGGTCTGTTTATTCCCCCTTTTTAAACCCAGAAACTAAGGAAGTAGGCTTATTGAGTCAGGCCTGTTGGTCCATTCCAGCTCAGGTTTAGTGACAGGGTTTCTCCCAAATCCTACCTGAGCATTCAGCAGTATTATTTTTCACATCTCACATCTGCCTTAAATGTACTAGGAAGCCCTTGCAAAGCTTCTCTCTCTCTCTCTCTCTCTCTCTCCCCTCCCCCAAATGCGGGGATAAAAATATTGCTCTACTTTATAGGGCTGCTGTGGTCTTAACATAATTCAGCACAGTGCTTTGGACACCTTAAAACAACATTTAGATGCTTAATAATAAACAAATGCATAAATTGAAACAATCAATATCATTATGTTATTTTTAGTAGTGGTAGTAAAAGTAGTATTGTCACATCTCTGTTCTAATGACTCAGGTTATAAATGACTCAGCTTATAAATAACTGCAAAGCGTTATTTTTTACACATGCAAACACCCTGGAATTGCTGAAAGAATCAGCTACAAGTCCCGTTCCACGGGTTGGGAGGTTGTAGCATGCAATGAACAGAGTCTTGGTCTGGGGGATATGCAAAGTATTGATCCTGGGGAGCTTTTTTCAGCAATGGCACATGTGCCAGTGAAATGACCGTTCCACTGGTGTGACTTGCCCCAACTTTATTATAATATTTTAGATGCTTCCTTTTGCCAAGGCTGATGTCTAATTGTGTTTTTTATGTTGTTAGTGAGAATTATTTTGCTAATTATGCTTTAGGTATGTTTTGCCCTTTTTTTGTAAACCACCCCCTGGTGTCTATTTTAAGCAAGGAGTATGAAACTCTCCACATAAATTAAAAATATATAAAAACTGAGCAAGTGTGGGGAGCAAGCCAGGGAGGACTGGGACCATGGTAGGTGGATAGAATGCTGAGCAGAAGCTAAAAGGAAACCTTTGTCAACTTAGTGTGCTCTTGGACTACAGTGTGTTCTTGGACTACAGTTCTTATCTGCCCCATTCGGTGTGGCAATGATGGGAGCTGATATCCAACAATATCTGCAGGGTTCCAGCATAGGAAAGTCTGAGCCAGACTAATTCCTCCTCAGGAGCAAAAACCTGCTTGTGAACAGAGGCCTATTTATGGGCAAGGCAAGTGGGGCACATAGGTAGCTGGTAGAGGTGGAAGCTGCACATGAAAAGCTCATGGTGGGTGGTATGTAGGAGTCATAGAATCATAGAGTCGGAAGAGACCACAAGGGCCATCGAGTCCAACCCCCTGCCAAGCAGGAAACACCATCAGAGCACTCCTGACAAATGGTTGTCAAGCCTCTGCTTAAAGACCTCCAAAGAAGGAGACTCCACCACACTCCTTGGCAGCAAATTCCACTGTCAAACAGCTCTTACTGTCAGGAAGTTCTTCCTAATGTTGAGGTGGAATCTTCTTTCTTGTAGTTTGGATCCATTGCTCCGTGTCCGCTTCTCTGGAGCAGCAGAAAACAACCTTTCTCCCTCCTCTATGTGACATCCTTTTATATATTTGAACATGGCTATCATATCACCCCTTAACCTCCTCTTCTCCAGGCTAAACATGCCCAGCTCCCTTAGCCGGTCCTCATAAGGCATCGTTTCCAGGCCTTTGACCATTTTGGTTGCCCTCCTCTGGACACGTTCCAGTTTGTCAGTGTCCTTCTTGAACTGTGGTGCCCAGAACTGGACACAGTACTCCAGGTGAGGTCTGACCAGAGCAGAACACAGTCGCACTATTACTTCCCTTGATCTAGATGCTATACTCCTATTGATGCAGCCCAGAATTGCATTGGCTTTTTTAGCTGCCGCGTCACACTGTCCCCCCACCCCTGAAATTTTGCTAGCCAAGAATTGTATTTATTTTTTGCTTTGTCTTTTACATTTACCGTTGGATATTAGGGGGTGGGGAGCATTGCCACGCATAAACTGATGGAAGACCTGTATGGCCTACTTTCCTTCTTGAAAACGTAATAAACGAAAATCTGCCCTTATTCCCTTGTAAGGGACACAAGAGCCATTATAGAGTCCTTTGCAGGTTCTCCATCAGTTGGGGAAAATAACAGAGGCCAACCAGAGAATATTGAGAAGCTAGTAAACCTGATCTTTATTCAACTGTTGCAACAGGGTGCTCCCCTCACACGCAGGAGGAGGAGGACCCTGAACCAAGGTGTGCCAGCCCTTATATAAACATTTTAAATTGCCCGCCCTGGAGTCCAAGACCACCCCTGGAAACATCACATACATCACAGAAGGGGTGTAGCTCAAGACCACCACCCCAGATACATCATACCTACATCACAGAAAGGGCGGTCTACAACAGAAATCTGAGTGCATTGTTTACCTCCTGTCTGGCAGGTTACCTGTTAATGCTTACTTGATTGGATACCCTGGGGAGCTTGGCCAGTCTTTTGTAATGATAAATACCGTATTTTTCTCTCTATAACACTCACATTTTTTCTCCTAAAAGTAAGGGGAATTGTCTGTGTGTGTTATTGAGCGAATGTGTGGTCCCTGGAGCTGACTGGCCCATGTACGGGGCAAAAATCAGATCGCGGAGGAGGGAAGGCTAAAAAGAGGAGGTTGCTGCTTTCCTGCATTCTGCCTCAGGGTCTTACTGCCCACTGTTTTCACTAGGAGCGCAGCCGACAGCCACCTCCTCCTCCTCTCCGTGCTCCGCTGCTGCTGCTGCTGCATCCAGCATCGCAGGCAGCCGGAAAATGCAGGTGGGAGAGAGAGAGAAAGAGAGAGAGAGGGGGCTGGCTTGGGTGGGTGGGGGGGAAACTTTTGCCTTCCTTTCCTCCCTCCCGTTAAACCCCTGTCCTGCATTGTTAGCCAGCTGCTTCTCCGCACACCCCTCTCGTGCTCCTTGTCCCTTCTGTGTTTTTCCTTTCCTCTCCACTTAAAACGTGGTTACAAAGCACAGATCCACATGGATCCTCAGGATCTTTGCATTGGGTCACCCCAAATTCACCATCAGATCACATTACATGTCCATGGCTACAGCCTGCACCAAAAAAATCACGCACCCACTGTTGCCTTGGGCTGCAATGGTGCAAAAACGTGGTTACAAAGCATGGATCCACATGGATCCTCAGGATCTTTGCATTGGGCTACCCCAAACTCACCGTCAAATCACATGTCTGTGGCCACAGCATGAAACACAAAAATGATACATCCACTGTTTCATTCAGAACTTTCCCCCCTTGTTTTCCTCCTCTAAAAACTGTGTGTGTGTTATGGTCAGGTGCATGTTATCGAGCGAAAAATACGGTACTTAGTTCCTGAGCCAACCCTATTCATTAGTTCACAGATAAATACTTAGTTCACAGGCTCACCCTATTCATACACAGACATACCCTTAAGATTGGATTTGTGAATGAAAAGACAATGGGGAGGTTTTTCCATTTTCCTTGACCTTGCAGAGGAATCATTTGGTCAGTTTGGGAATCAAAATGGTTTCAGGGCTGTTTTCCTGTGCTGCTTCAGACATATGGTTTATATATTTATGTACATGTTTGCTTGGTATATTTATGAACATTTATAATATATATATATATATATATATAAGACCTTAATTTTTTTATTTCAAAAACCATTGCTGAGAAAAGTAGAGTTTCTTAATTTTTTAAATTTAGTTTGACATGTTTGTATTGCAATTAAGACCATTGCTGAGAAAAGTTGAGTTTCTTAATTTTA